AAGAAAAGGAAACGATTTAGACAAGAGGCAAACCTTTTTCCACCGGTTGGAAACTTTTCAAAAACAAAGACGCGACCTTTCCTTGCACACCTTTGACTGCGCAGCGCGTTGCATTTGCATCGATAACGCCTTGAAACCGCGACCATCCCTTTTCTCTGGCCCACAATCGTACACCGCCGCTACAACACTCGGCTGCATCTCCCTCTTCTGCCTTTCCTTAAATTCAATCGCATTGCCACCGCATTCACGTGCCACGATGCACGCGTATCCTGTTACGAGACCGAAGGAGAGAGAGAGAATTCGACGGGTCTCGAGCTTACCCGGGAAACTTCGAGAAAAGCCACCAAGGTGAAACGGGACTGCGTAGGCAAAGCTACCATGCAGCACGCGGTCCCCAAGTCGAAAAACTTTTTTCTCCGTACTACATACTGTGAAATTTAGCCTTTCCACCGACAAAATGCTCGACTACGAGGCGGCGTTTTCACGTCGACGAGCAATTTTCTCAGTCGTGAATTCGCCAAATGCGACTGCGATTTATTTCTCAAATAAACATGCCGCGTTTCAATTCTACATATACTCGAGCTGTTTCGACGGTTCTTTTTTTCTCAACGGCTTGTAACAATGTAAAAATGCAGGTGCATCGATTGCATTCATACTCTACCTCCGAAGAAAGTTTCAAGCAGCCTAGCTCGAACGGCTACAGCGAGAGAAGAAATTTTTCGCGCAACTCACATTCGTTGTGAACGTAATCGCAGCAGTCGAAGCAAGGAGTGAAATTAGAAAGGACAAGCATCGTCTGGTCTAAGCAAAAAATCATCGAGAATATTCGTGTTTGTATTCAACGTTTCTCGAGAACCATAATCAGGGGACGGGGAGCAGTCGTCAATTTGCCGCTATGCTTCGACCAGTTCCATCCTAGGAATTACATACTCCCTCTTCGAAAATCGTCTTAACGCATTCTGCGAACGGACGCAAGCAGGGGGGAGAGAGACTGGAGTCGAGAGAAGGCCGAGCCGCGCCGCGCCGCGCGCCCCTTTTCCGATGTGAAATTACAGTTCTGTTTCTCTGGCTTGTCATTATCCAAGCCCTCAGGCCTTCCGAGGCTCTCTGTCTACGTGCCCTTCAACATTTCCCTAGGACGCGACGCAATTGCGCCTTCTTTCCTTTCAATGTCTTCTGCTCTCGACCACCACTCGCGAGCATCCTGTTATACCTGCATCTTTCCAGCCTTCTTCCTACGAGTTTCCATATTCCAACCTTCGATTCGTTAATACAATGAAAGAAGAGACTGAAAGAAACAGAAACGCACGCGAGAGAATGATCGCGTGTCGATGAAAAACGGCATACGGAAGGGAGACGTCTCTGACAACTGCGAAACGACTTTCCGCAAAACGATTACCGACTTCCGCTACATCGAAACCGTGTCCCCGGTGCGCCGGCACTCGCGACGAGTCCTCGTTGCGTTCCGCACGCTATCGTCATTATCGTCCTAACAACGCTGTCCTCTACGTGTGTACCGTTTGAATAGAACGAAACGACCGCCGAGCCGTTAAAAACGTGCTTACAACCTTAGACCTGGCCGTTTTTTTTTCATTACCCGGGAATTTTCCAACGAACCACCAATTGTCACCGCTGAGATTGAACATCCCCTTCCCAATCTTCAATCTCGAAACTTAGGCTGCTTCTTTAATACGTTCCGAGCCGCGGGAATGTTAAAAGTGTCGGCAGAATATTTAAATAGCGTTACTTAAGTCAGTTCTCGTCGAGCGTGTAATTGCGCTCCGTTAGCCGAAAAACTTGGCGTATTAACGGTGACGCTCGTCACGTTTCCTCTTTTTCATACACAGTCAGTCAAATGTTCATCGACGAGTTTCGCGCGAGACCGCGATAGAGCGCTCGGGGTATAACACGTTCCAGGAGCGCGCGTTCACAATGGACGTAGCCGAATGTTGCAGCGCCACTTTCTACCAATGGACGTGCACCGTGCAACCGAGAGCGTTCGCGCATCAACGATTTCGCTTGAATTTCACCCTTTGTTCTTTACGTTCGAACGTACGTCTGAGCGTACACCGCCGTTCCGTAATTCGTGCACTTTCCACAACCTCCGTGTTTAAATTGTTTACAATAATCTGTTTTTCTCAGCAACTTTGAAAAAAAGAAAATAATCGTCAATTCTAACATCGCAGGTTACATCAGTGTTGCAGGTAATAGAAATAATTCCACGTAAGCATATAAATAGTCGATGACAATGACAAGACAGAAAGATGAAACGTCGTACCAACGTGTGCCTTTCACTTTTCCCTTCTACGTATCTTCAATTAATCTTCCGTTTAACGTATTTTAACATAAATATTCGAATAAAATCAAAGATGAAGAGGTTAGAATATTCGACAATAAAAGAATAAAGAATTTACACAAAAAGATGAAAAATCGACGTGAAAATTTGCCGGAGGAATGGATTTTACGTCGCGTCGGTCATTCGAAGAAGAGAAATGAAGGCTAATAAATAGAGAGAAAACCTAGCCCGCGCTCCGAACGTTCGCGCATCGACAGTTTCGCCCTTTGTTTCCGTCAAGCCCTCGTGTTTCTTTTTCTCGGAATCGTCATCGACGCGATGCGAACGCGCAGAAAGAAGCCCCCCACCCCAACGGTTGAGGGAGGGGGCGTTCTGGAGGAATGAAAGAAACCAGGAAAAATGTCCAAGTCCCTAGAAAAGTACGTAATCCTACCTCTTCCGCGCATAAGAGCGATTTCCTTTCGAAACAATCTGACCAATCTGTTCTCCCTCTTATTACAAACCTACCAACGCAAAAGAACGATCGAAAAGGAAGTTAGAAATAAATATCATTTTATCTGCTGCAAAGCGGCCGAACATTCGAGATTAAAATGGTGGTAAAGTTGGCAGGCGAAAGTCAGGTATACACCTAGTAGTTACGGAAACGTTTGGAAATATATACACATGTACATACATACATATCGAACACGCGAAACGACTGGCAATTTGATTTTCAGATCCTAGCTACTGGAAACGACTAACGTCAGCTAACGTCATATTCGAAGAACCACTGAGGCTTGGTTAGATTAATATTACCGTGAAAAAAAAAGAAAGAAACGATCTGCGAGAAAGATGGAGGAAACAAAGACAAGATACGAAAGAAAGGGGGAAGACGCAGGTGATGGTATGAAGCGAAGCTGCACCGCCCCGTTTCCTACACGAAATCGAATCGAGCCTATCCGTGTTGGAATTAGCGAGACAGCATCGATAGGAGAGGGCAGAGAGTTGGCCGACCCACGCACGAACATCCGCATAATTTCGTGCGTGTTCATCGTGCGGGTTCCCGGCATGCTTTAGATGGACACGCTCGATAGAGACGTAACAGGTGTGGACGTGAAGCGAAAGAGCGTGGCATACGTCCGTTACCCTCGGACTTTTCAAGAACCAGACTCGACACGACCCGTCTCTCCTCTTTGTCGCTTTTCTTAGGGAAGAGAGGGGAGAAGGATGAATGCGTGGAACAAACATACCGTTTGACACCTGGAGAAGCACGCAGAACACAATAGGAGCGACGGTAAGGTCCCACTTTGTTCAGGGAGAATAATAAAGTCCCCGGCGGTGCGGAAGAGATTCGCGGCAAATCGGTCGAACGAACCAAGAACGAATCGTGAGGGGCCCTCAGGAACGCTTCTCGGAACCGTGTCTTTGTTAGGTTCACGTTTGCGGTTACGAAGGGACAGCCGAAGCGTCTCAAACTGCGACCCCCTACAGCGATTTCCATCTCGTACCAAAGTACCGTGCCTCTAGATTTATCGTGGAATAAACAAGCGTTTCGTGGAAACGTTATTACAGAGGCGACGCGACGTGACTCGCTCTCGCTACAAACTCGCTCACAGTATAACCCGTCGCGCCGCAATGATCGCTTCTTTTCGTCCACGTTTTTACCAATATCGGCCGACAATCGGCACGTTTACCACGCTCCGCCGTGACAAGCGTTTTTCCCGGAAACCTGTTACGCTTCTCGACTCTAGAAACTCTCGACGTTATAATTTACACAAATTCGGACATTTAGTTCAGGTTAGCTTTGAAAACAGCATATTGTTAGCTATAACTCGCTTTTCACACACAAATGTTACGTTATGTTTATGTAAGTGATTTCTATATACGTGTAGTTTTAATATACAATAAACACGTATTGTAATAATGAAAGTAATAAATCTAACCTTATTATTATTATTATTATTATACAAACATGCACGACTGTTTCCTCCCTTCAATTCGATGGATGATAATGGAAGAATTTGTGAAACATTTGAAAAGGTAAATAAGATTTTGTCGTTGCAAATCGAGGATTAAGTGTGGGTTATTACATGTCACTGGCTCACGCAAGGCCTAACTAAACGCGGTCTGTATTACTCTGTCGAGCACTGTGTTTATTTTGAATCAAGCATACTCTATGACGGACTAATAACCGGTTTAACGTATTCCTCCGCACTGACGCGAGAAAAAAAAGTGTGTGGCCGTAAATGGATTAGCTTGACGACAACGGACACGGGATTCCAGGTATTCGTCAAGTTGGGCAAAAACGTGGCAAGAAATTGCATCAGTCCGCACGAACGTCGGGCATGCCATTCAAATTGACTCTCTCGAACTCGGTGTGACTCACAAGATCGAAATAAAACCATGGGAAATTCCGCGGCGCTCGGTTTCGTCGACAAGAGAACGAGAAAGTCTCGTCCCGACGACGAGTAACGTATTAATTACGACTCGAATTGACCCGGCGACTAGTCCCATCGTTTAACCTTCGCTCGTCTTTCCAAACAGACGTCGCACACGCGCTCGAAATTCTACACCCCACCTGTGTTTTCGTCAGATTCCGCGAATCCAACTATTCTAGGAAAAGAAAACGAACACAAGGAACGTTCGATTGTTACATTGACAAACCAAAGTTCAATCCGCTACGTTACGAAAGACCAAGTAAATTTACATTAACATCAAAACTTACCATTCGATACTCCTATACCCCCGCAGACAGCAATGGAGGGCTTTGAATGCACCGATATTCGCGTACTCCGTTGTTACGACCTCCTTCGTAAACCTCAAGCCACCCGGTAAATTGTCAAACTTGTGCATCGAACAGTAGTCCTTGAGTTCGTTGGCCCGACAGATCGTTGTCAGTAACGACAACGCGATCACGCCAAGCTCCATCGGTGTTGTCATCTTATGATCTTGACCAAACGATCGATTTTTCAGGAAGCAGGGTACAACACACTTCAAACACGGTGCGTTTCGAATCCCAGAACCGCCATGACCGGGTTCCCAGCATGAAAATTACGTCCCCACGGTCCACAGTAGGTTTTTCCGCAAAAGAAAACCAACCTCCACCAGTCGGCACCGTTAACGTCCAAAGAGAAACGCGAAGGCTGTCGTATGTACGTAAACGACGAGACCACCTCCACCCGATCCGCTTGATATTTGCCGTTGAACACAAAGTTTCAACCTATGCCTCGACAGACTACGTGCGTGTTTGCTCAGGATTTCAAACGGCTCTGGTCACGCGTCTTTTTTTTTTTTCTCTCTTGTCAACCGATCAACCGTCTAACAGGTTCAGTCACCTTCCGCAAAAAGCCATTTTCTCCTCGTTGTGATTTATCATCGACAAAATTCTGACAACACGTTAACGTTTTAAAACGAATCCTTTTCGACCTTTGCACAATCACCGACAATTTCAACGAACATGTACCGCGTCACCACGTCAATGTTTTCTGTAAAGCATCACGGGATCTCGACACGTTTCGACAAGCGTCTTACCACGTTACGTCATCAACGACAATTATCGCATGACTGCACTCAGAAACGAACTAGAGATATCGCGAGATATTTTAACGAAGAGAAGAAACGACGAATATCGACAACTAGCGAGAACAATAGTAAGTAACGCGCGAACATATGTACATTTATCGAAAACTGTTCTTCAATGAATACACGACACACACGCTATGGAGGCCGGCGGCTTACTGTCACCCCGCCGCGTTGAGAACTCCCCGTACGCCGCGGGTTTAAAACGAGCCGCCTGTTGCCTCGTGCTCGTTCGGCCTGGTTCGGCGATCTTCGGGCTCCCTCGACGGGACACCGACGCTCTACTACGGTCGCTGCGACCGCGAGTTGAGTGCTTTCCTGCATTCGGGTATTCATCCTTTTTTTCTCTTCTATTTTCGTTTGAACTTTTCGTGGGTTTACTGGACGATATGCGTCGCACATGTGACAACGATGTTTTATTTAAGGGGGTATACAACCATGAAAGCCTAAATGAATTCGGGTGAATCTAACAATGTTTTTCGCTTATAAATATTTGGTAAAAAGAATAAAATTTTTATAGGGTTTAAGCAATATCTTAACTCTATTTTCATATTTTTTTATTACTTTAAAATTATAAAATGGTAGAGTTGTACGACATTATCTAACTCCATGTTCAGCAGAACCTTGTTAGCTTGCACCCAGCAGTAAAAGTGACTGGAATGTAAAAAATAAAAGAATTTTGTAGCAACTTAAACAAAAATGGAGTATCTTCAAAGTGTAGCATAGGATTTGAAGGAATGTATATATGTAGGAAACTGTTAGAAGGACCTGCTGAAAAGGAAAGGTTGAGGGTTTTTTTCTCCTGGACCTTCTCTCTCTCCTCCTAGTGTACTCGTCACAATAAGGCTTTTCTAGGAGGCCTGTGCCTTAGACACGGGAGGGATTAGAAAGGTCAAAAGATATATGTTTATGTATGTATACAAACGGGAGCCTTTATGAGAACTAGCGAGAATTCGCGGTTAGTCCGTCTCTCTGGTGGCAGAGCGTAGTAGAGTCGCTAGAGATTTTTCAATAATTTTGAAAAGTGAGAAAATGGCGGCTTGTTAAAGACAAAACTATCATTTTCGCTGAAAGAAATCAAATTTAAATATTTATAAAACTTCAACTAATTAAGATGTCAAAAAAATCCAATGCTACATTGTAGATTGTTTTATAAAAAATAATGTGTAAAAATTTCAAGTTAAACGGATGAAGAATTTCGGGGATTTACCGAGTGCAAGGTCGGAGAATGTAGATTCGAGAAAAACGCATCTAAAGTTTTCAGTGAATCTTTCTCTGAAGTAAAAGAAAATTTTTAAAAATTCACCCTTAATCTGCGATTCCGGGTACATCAAGAGACTCTTTTGTCTCTAAAAAATCGTCAGATTCTTGTTTCTTAGCTGCTCTTAGCAGTTGTACTTTCGAATTTTCCGAAGCCCGACCCTCCTGCATTATTTCCAATCTTTAAATTCATAAGTTGCATTATTGACAGAATGTTTCTATAATCGTTAAAAATACTAGCACCAATAAATGCCGCAATGTTAACTATTCTTTTGCTACAAAATGTTGTTTTTGAAGCAATTATCCAATATACTCTGTTAATGCAATTTAAAAATGTACGGTAAGGTATCTACTTTCCCTGAAATTATGTCAATAAGCAAACGTAAAAAGTTATATTAATGACAAGAAATTAAACGAAATCTTTCCCTTTTAACAGCGTTACATCGGGGCCGTCTTACCTGACAAGACATGCAGTCGTTTTCAGTACTACAACTTTGTCAATTTTTTAAGTTTCAAATGACTCTTCTATCGCAGTATTCTACACATGCAAAACTTTAAAAGAAAGACCAAAGAAATTTCAATGTTTTGAAGCCGACAAGTTTGCATACAGCAGTAATGGAACGCTTTTCACGTCCAGGAGTACTCGTCCACGAAATTATTTCACGAAATTGAAGACGATACGAAGATCGTGATTGCACGTAAGTACTATTCTCTAATATTAAAATAGAAATTTTTTTAACTCGTCGGTCGTGTCTAATTGAAATATACGGAGAAAGCAGTGAACCGTGTTCTTTGGAATGGCGTAATCGATACACCTCTTGCGAAACTCTCGTTTCAGGATCAATTCGGTGCAGTCTCCGTTAAGTGCGTTCTCAAGTTTCAGTCTGGTACCAGTTAGTCGGCCATTAATTAATCACGTTGTATTTAAAACAGCGAATTGTCGAATGGTGGTCACAAGAAAGAGAGAGAGGGAGAGAGAGCAGGTTGCAACACCGAAGAGAACGTTTCCCGGTGTAATAAGATAAGAGCATGAATATTTGTACCCTGCGTACAATTGCATTTTCCTTTGTCAGCCGTCGACAACGGAATTTTTGTGGAAGAAAACGGTTAGCGAAAAATCTTGAGGGACAGGTTAGAGATCCCAGCGCGGTATTTGCTTTGCTTTTACTCCACGCTCGAAAGTAAACAATTCGAGCGGCGAGTGCACGTGTACACGGAGGAAAACAAATAACCGGGGAATATCCGTATTTTTCGACATAACATAACAAGATACTCGGACACAGAGGCATTCAGAGAAACGGCGCGTGACCACCGTTCTCGCTCAAAAGTACATGTACGAGGAGCGACAACATGTACTATATACATACGTACTCTCGACTTCGAGAGAAGTTCGATTAAAGCGTACGTTTTCCACGAATTCGATAAACTTCGAATTTATGTATTTTACACAGATAACTTTAGCGGATAAGATTCTTTTCAAGGCAACTGGACCGTGCGATATTATTCGTTGAATTTGTGCATATCAATCGCTCGTGTATGTTCAAATACCGCGTAAAACATAACCTTTTTCCCGCGCGCAACGTTCCAGGTTATCGAAGCTGAATTCCGCGGAAGCTACAGCTCGCTCGGCCCCCGTTATCCACTACCGAATGTTTCTCGGTCGCGTTGCTTACCGTCTGTGATTTGGCAGCGAGGAGAGCACAACGTTTTTCGCACCGTCGCTGATGTAGCTGCATGTATACATATAAGTACATATATAAGCATATACACGCACGTGTATGGCCGACGCTGACTTGCATTCTGGGAATTCGAATATGCGGTCAGTCGTTTCGTGTCGTGTGGCAACGATTATGCCGGATGATCATAGCCGGGCCAGCGTTTGCTCGTGTGTGCGTCCACGACACATGGGAGAGATTTTTATGCATGTCACGATGAGTGTAGTCTTTCTCGTAGGACCAGTTTTTTTTACTAATTCTCTTAGAAACGAATCCTCTACTCTGTGGTAGATCGGCATCAACTAGGCTTAAGAACACGTAACTACTTGGAAAGTGTAATATAGGGCATTGATGTTTGCTCGGTTGATAGTATATACATATGTACTTACATATTTAACTGAACAATTTTCTAGCCTGATTCGCATTAAAGGTAGGTCATTAATGTGACACTGTCACTGAAGGTCATAGACACCAAAATTACGCATCTTTTATGCAACTTCCAGTGCAGGAGCTGCGTAAGCAAGTTTTTTTCTCTGTCGTTCGGAGCATCGTTTGCTCTTCCTCTGAAACCAAATCTGTCTTGCTTGCCTTGACATGTCGTTGGCTAACGGACATGTTAAAACAACGATGAACGCTTCGAACACAGTGTATCGATACGTCGTAATCTGGTTTTTATCTTGAAAGTGACTCAGAAAGTAACGCAAAGTATTCGCAAAGATACCAAGTACCGTAAAAATACTTCGATATCTGTTGTATTTATAGATTAGAAAATTCGTGGGAATCTGTGTAGAAATTTATATACGATACGCGAGTCTCCTTTATTTACAAGCAACAATTCCATTATTCGACTATCGAACGGCTTTTACTGGTTGTTTTTGCGAAAAATTATCGAGTCACCCCTCGAACCACACTTCAAAGAACAGTCGTGTTATCAATTAGAGTTCCGAGATCACGGTGTACGTAACGAAATTAATCTCCCCTTAATTAATGGCGTTAAGGCGCATTCAGCCGTGGCGGCAGTACGAGTTTCCTGATTAAGACGACGATACGCGTTCTTAGAAGAGACATCGAAAGAGCCGAGAAAGGCTGTATACGACCGGCACACTTTATTGAAATCTTGTACAATTAAAACCGTATAGAACAAGTGCTGCCTCTTAACATTAATCCATGGTGGGGTCATAGTACTCTATAGACCACGATCATGTTTATTGATTCTATTTTAAACCATCTCGAGTTGAATACTGTGCATCTTGGATGGTCAAACGGAGAAGAAGGTTGAAGTTTTCAACTCTATCTCTCTTCTGAATCTTTTTGTGTAATCTGTTTCTGCTCGATTATCGTCAATGTTGTAGGAACTAAAAAAAAAAAAATTTTGGAGGGACCACCAAACGCGGATCTTCGATCGGCAAACTATACGCCCATAGCCAAGACGCTCTCTTGATTTCCTCGTTGTTAGTAGGTTGGTGCATATGAAACGCTGTTTTTTGAAAGGAAACTTTGGACACATTGTGTTTCTTCAAAAACTAATCCATTTAATCAGAATAATTTCAACACCAAAATCATTAATCTGTGAATTAAAAAATTCTTTGAATGCTGCTTTTACAGTGTTTTCATTTCGGGATAATTTATTTATTGAAGCAATGGTAGAACGAATGAGGGAGGATGTGACAAAATTTCATACTCTTTACCGTTGATTGTTTTCAATAACTTTTTCTTAAGACGTTATCATCGCTGGCTCTATTTGGCCTTCCTCTTGGCTCATTTTCCAATAAAAGGTCGCCAATTTGAAATTTTGCACACCAACTCTGAAGTCTCCTACTAATCACGCGAATATTCCGATTATTCATCCTGTCAGATAATAATCTCCAAAGAACTGAATATTTTTACTATTCAATCCACGCGTACTAGAGCAAATTCGTTCTTCTTGATTCCTCTTATAAATTGATAATATTTGTTGCTTTTTGTTGGGCATGGAGGACCCAATCCCACAATATTATTATCGAAGTGCGTAGGTATCGGTGAGAAGGGGAATTGCGATAAATGTGCAAAATATAGGAAAGAGAGTGAAAATTGGCAAGTATGTTAATTAACGACAGACTAAGTACCGAGGAAGTTTTCACGCTAGGTAGATTGTGCTCGGTGTACGTACATACATATATGTTTGTCGCGGGCGATATCGACGTTTCAACGGAAATGAGAAACGCCTGACGGTATGCTAGCCGTTTTCCTCGCTTTACCGAGAATCCGTAATTACACGGCACATACGGCACACACGCTACTTACAAGTGTTCCCCCGCCGCGGCGTGCACATACCGGGTGTCAGGCGGCCGAACCGCGTGGAAAAAAGAAGCCGCTGGTTACGAGATTAGTCCTTAGACGGTGTACGCGGCGGCTCGTTTTTACTTTCGTGAGATTCACAGGTGCCCCACGGAGGAAGCAGTCGTCTCGCTTATTCGACCACTGTAATTGTCAGCTGTCCGTTCTCCGGCTTATTTCGCCCTCCCCTAACTCGAACTGGTTTTCTTCGAACCGCGCCGTTTTTCTCACGCCACATCGTGTTCCGCCGGAATTAACCTTCAAATCTATTTCTGACAGGACGATCCGCGGTGTATTGTTGCCCTTGTCACAAACTCACCACGCACCATAAATTGGAGAAATTTTCCCGTAGCCTTCTACGAGATTTTCATTTCGTTTCGAGATTTCCACTTTCATAGTTTGTAAGTAATCAAAGAAAGCTCGACGCGCAGTGAAGTTCAGCAAAATTAACTTGGGACGGTCGTGTAAATGAACGCCAGGTCTGATTAGTTCATTTGTTTCAGGACTTAATTAAGTCTCCAAGTAGATATTTCTCCTTTTCGATCGTAAACTCTAGCACCATGTTGGTAAGCACCTTTAAATTTCTTCATCGAAAACGAACATCCTTAAATCTAATTGTTTAGAGTATCGTAGAATGCATCGAAGGCAAACAACGGAGAGACGAGACGTAGCGCTCTGTTCCTCACCAACGAGTTTATCTTGCTCGGTGCATTGGTTTCCCATCAATTTTCAACTAATTACTAGATTCAGGGGATCTTGGGTGAATTAGTCGAGGAAAGCATCGAGCTAGCGTAAAACGAACGGGTTCGTGCAGCGGACAAGAAAATCCGGGAATTTATCGGTCATCTTCCGGAACTTTGTATCGCTATTTTCTCTTGCCGGCTGCATCTCTCGATCTACCCTAAGGAAATAACGATCGCCCGCAAGGGTTCCTTCTTGTTTCTGAAATGGAATAAATTCCATAAAAATAGAGAAAAAAAGGAACAGTAATTTATTTTTACTTGAATGTATTTTTTAACAGCCGCGTTAACATCTAACTATTAGTGTAAGCATTATTGTTTTCCGCTAATAATCTCCATCAAGTCCTTCAGCGTGTAATTCTTTAAAAGTTTGTTCAATAAGTCGGCAACTTTCGGACTGGCGTATGCGGATATTTTATTTTGATAATCGTCGAGCAGTCCAGGTGTCACTTCGGTGATCACTTGGCTCATGGTGTTAGATATGCCTTCGTCATCGAACAGTCCAGTGATCTTGCACTGTAAAATATTCAATTTTTCACTTATTTCGATTGGTCGAGCATTTAGATATTGTTAGTTAGACGAAGATAACAAACTTACGGGAAATTGTTTGATGTGGGCGTGCAATACTAGGTCTGTAACGTACACTTTCTTGTCTTTCACGCCCAACTTCAGGTCCACCGTTACCGTCAGTCCTTTGATGACCACGCTACAAGTCGAAGGTGGAAATTGTAGGCATAAATTGTGACTAGAATAAGCGTTGGGGAGGGAGGAATCGATAAACCGCACGAGTGAGTTCTGTTAAGTTTCTCGGTCAGAAGAAATCTAGGGCAGGAAACGTTGATACTTGATTTCGGTAACACTGCTTTACTAGCATTAGGAAACTGCAAAACCGACTGCGAGCGCGTTCTCGACTGATCACAAACTACTTTTCGGATTCTGCATTCTGTTGCTGCTGCTGCTGCAGGCTTTGCCGTTTTATTCAGAGATGCAGCTACTTGCATGAAAGGCCTTCGAAATCCCGAAATGTTCCCCAGAAATCGAACATTTCTTTTATATTTTCTAGAAACATAATGTTTCTGTTAATCGATAGAGGAAACGAACTTACGATAGATTTCCATTTCCAAAGAAGGGTATGCTATCGATGAGAGTTCCTTTCACGTTGTACTTGGTCATAATGCTAATATCATCCCAAGTCAGACTCACGTTCGCTTTAAGTCCAACTATCGCGAAATCGCCCTTGTTTACTTTATAGTTGGACAAACCATTTGCACGTACATTGTCTAATGTTCCATTAACGCTGTTCCACAAAAATAAAACCGACGATCGTTAACGTTTTTTAATTACACTTGTATCGGTGATTAAAAGAGAAGCATATACTTACGAGAACAGTCCCTTTGCGCTCAAATTTACGTCCATATGTGTCCGCTGGAAGGGGTCATCTCTAGCATTCCAACAAGTTGTCCGCCTTGGAGCGTAGCTGCGTCGCTCAAAGCAGCCTCTTAATAAGAGTAAACAATTGCTCATTTTAATCACGAGTTGACTCGATGAAAATTCCGAAATAATTTTCTTCCACTTACTGTCCGAGTCAGGCGCGGATGCCTGACAAGAGACCACCAGCATGACGGCTAACACTGACACAAACAAACGCATCTTCCTGCAAACGAAACGAAACTTTTCAAACTTAACACGAGAGCGAGTCGTTCATATTTACTACGATAGCTTTTTTACGTTGGAGTTACTCACGATATTTGGAAAATTACGCGACCGTGATGTTCCTCTGAGTACCCTGGTCCGTCACTGAACCGTCCCTTATATACGAGCCAATATCGTCCACACTTGAAGTTTAAGATCTGTTATCTGAGGTAGTTTATCTGAATCATTCGATTATCCGATCGAGTGTATTAACAGAAGGAAAAAAAATGAAGGAGCAAGGTCGTGATATTATGTCATTCCCCCTCTCCCTCGTTCTCTTTCTCTTTCTTCCTTTGCAAGTATCTCTGAGTTTCCGAATTGCTATTTTAATCTCTCCATTTTTCTGTACGCCACAAGTTCCTGTTGTGCGATTTAAAGGAGGCAAACGTCACGCGACCTCGTGCAGTTTCGTACAATCGTTAATTGCCCGACGATAAATGTCTATTCTTCGATCGAACACGTTTACATAATGTGGTAATAGCAGCTGTACAAATTACCGTTCAATTACGTCGCGACGTTCAATGTTGTTTAATTACCGATCGGTAGAAGAACAGAGAATCGTCGAAAAATATTCCACGTGTCCTCCTCTTATCGCTTTCGGTCTTGTCTGCCCGCTCGTTCGCAGCTGCGGATTGATCCGGTGAAAAATTGAATCACGATCGTGGCAGCGTACGATACGCGGTAATTATCTAAACACGGAACGCGGACCTGTGAATTTCCATAAATCCGAAAAGGCTATTTTAGGTGGCCATGAAATTCGCGCGGTATCGATCGTTATGGCGTAAATACTTGGTTATTGGAGGCCTGAAATCGGAGCAATGAGAACGAAGCCTCGACGCAAGGCCGTGCAGCCGACAAATAAACTATTGATACGTAGTAAATGGTGAATGGATAAGGCGTTGCTTTCGAAGAACGAGGAAAAACGTTCGGAAAATTTCTCGTTCGGCCAAGCTTGCTGAAGAAAAGGGAGTAATGGGAATTATTGTTCGGTGCAAGCTGGCGGCAAACATGCAGGCAAACAGGAAGATATTGCCGTTTATTTCGAACTTTTCGAAATTGTCTCTAGAATTTCGAGCAAACACTTGGGGAAGTATGATATCGAGCGTTGTTTCTCTTTTCATTGAAACACATTGGAAAATGCGACGACTTGTAAGTCGTAACATCGAAAGAAAAAGGAAAATAGAATGAAATAGAGGAAGAGGAGGAGGAGATGAGAAAAAGCGCGCGCGTGTGCTGTAGTAGTATCCGGCACAGTGCTCGGGTGTGTAAAGAAAAAAGGAAGGAAGGACGGAAAGTAAGGGTGGAGGATGGTGCAAGGAACACGAAAAGGAAGAGGGAGTATAGAGGGAATAAGAGGCGAAAGGTGGGTATGGGAAGCGGTTGGTTCGGTGTGGGGTGGTGAATGTTAGAGGGGGAGCTGAGCGACGAACCAGAGGGTTAGAGTAGGGGTTGAAGCCGAGAGGGGATGCCAGGCCAGTTCACCCTTACTAGCCACGGCTCGAGTCGTCAGTGCGGCCTGAACGGTTAACCGGCCTACTTCTTTTTCGCGTGCTTACTTCCGATTCCTTTCTCACACTGTTCTCGCGATTCATCGAGTCATCGAGCTCGTTGTCGTCGTCGTCGTTCCTCGGTATCTCGCGACCTCGCCACAGACACCACTCCGGTATTCTGGCGGCGATTGCTCAGAGTATCCAGGGAAATCCATCTGCAGGGAGGAATCGTTGGTCTCGTGCCTCGGTGTTCGATCTAATCTTGCTTGAGAAACTCGAGATATTCGCATCGATGAAGAGCCATTGAACGGGTAGAAGATATAATCGGAAAGAGAGAAAAGGAGAAACGTAAAAGCAGAGGCACGGAGGAGGGAACTTGAGGGAGAGAAGGAGGCGACTAACAAACGATCGGTTCCCTGGAGTAGAAGTTCCTCTTGTTCTCGCCGCGGTGGTTGTCGTCGAGCTGGACGCAGGGGCAGGAGAGGCAGCGACGGTGCTTGCTCTCTTGGAAATTCGTAAGTCCCCCTTTACACTCTCTTTTCATCTATAGTCGTTTCATGTACACGTTGCCGTTTCATAAACGCACAAGTTGGAGAATATTTCGCGATGGAAAAGTCACACGTCTGTTTCTTGGCAGCGCGAAAATCGCGGAGGATCGAGGAACGACTGCAGGGTAAGATTTTTCTCGTGGAAACGCGAGGTGAACTCCGCGAGATAAGCCGCCGATGGTATACGATAACTCGTGTGTAGAGCGGCGAAACAGATCAATTTATTTATCCACGTTTCGTCCTTGAACGACGTAGAACAACACGAGTAATCGTTGTTTTCTCTTTTCGCGTACCTCACGTTTCCTCCTTCGATCGTGGTCAGAGTCGTTCTTCCAAGTTGCTCGAGGGAGAATCTCCACGTTTCCCTCGTGGACCAAACTGATCCACTTCATCGTTACTGTTTCACGCTATGAACTTTCTTTAGGAGAACGTGTACATTCTTGTTCAAGCACAAAGAAAGGTTAACAGGGACGGTCTTCGGGTAATTATTCTCAAGTAAGTACAAGGAAGACGTTGCGAGAACGCCTCACGTTCGTTGCAACCTTCAATTTATACAGAATTCAGCTATGCGTTCCTTTTTCTCAACCTACCCTGCATACGCGATAAAGTTCCGTTCTCTCGAGATTCCGTTGTGTTCTTACACGAAACGAACACCGAGGAAGCTTTTTAATTAAGGGCAACAACTCTTCGAGCGGTTGCAGGTCTCAAAGCATGGAAGCCAACTGTTATTTCCTCTGGATGAAAGGTATTACTCCAGCTTCGATCTGATGTAGAGTTATACGCATCCTGCCTGTCCGAAATCTTTTAAAGAAGGAAACAATACACGATCTGTGCAACTTACCAACCTATGGAACGGGACGGGAGATCGATTTCAAGGAAAGAAATTGGCCCGCGTAATAGTCCTATTAGTCCGCGTGAGTTACGACAGCAAAGCTACCGGATCAGCGATAAGATCAGCGAATGGATATCGAGGTATATGTGGCAGGGATTAATGGCAGCCTAGGTTCACTTCTAACTCCGGCGATAAATTTCGATAGGCTTAAGCCCGCTGGATGCACTCGCTGGAGATCGAGGATGGGATTTTCGTGGTTCGAGGTCAACCGGCAAATCTCATCGCGTAGCCCTATCCTCGCGGATGAAGGTCGTCCCTCCTCCTCGCCGTCCGTTTTCTTCAAACAGATTTCGTTTCGCTGCGTTACACGAAACACACAGAAGGAAGTTTTATTGCTGACAGGAAGGATTGCTGTCCTTTATTCGTTTCCCTTGCTGGTGCTCTTCGAGAGCTTCTGTTTTCATATTCCACGCACTTTTCACGGATATCGCGATACAAAGAGGATGAGAGAGAAAGGGGCAGACACTAGGAGGGGCGACAGAAAGGGAAGGGAAGACGTTGAATCGAGAGCATGGTGAATTGGTGCCGGTGGAAAATGGGGGTCCTTGAAAAGATTCGAATAGAAAATTTATCGATCGCACTTGACTCGCGGGAAGTTCGTCTTTTATCGTTTATATTAAGCGGAGGTGGCAGAGGAGCCGCGTGCCTCGCTTTAACACATACCTCGCGGACACTATTGTTCCACGTATAGAATCGTTGCACGATGGAAAAATTTCGTCATGATACGTGGCAAATGTGTTTGATCGTGATCGCGACAGATACACATCAGCTGAACAATTGTACCAAGTCTATCTTTTAAAAATCGCAAACATTCGATACACAATATCTCTTCGAGTGGTTTCGAGCAAGTGTATTTACTTGCATATTGAGATAATGTACACATACATTTATCGCTAACAGTAAGATAGTGACGGACGGAATGTGAAACGCACCGGTGTTTCATTTAGGACGCGAGTCGTTGGAACACAATGTGAGAACAAAATCGGTTTTTTCGAAGAGGCGAATTAGCTCCCGTTTTTCCTCGCGGTTTTTCACCCGTCTATTCCGAAACGAGCGTATGGTTTAACGCGCGCGCGTCGCGACCCATAACATATTCAGTGGTCTCGGGGAGAGCGGCACACTCTCATGGTCGTAGAGGACACTGAAAAAACAACGACAAGGTTATACAAAAGGGAAATTGACGTGTGCTTGGCACGTATGTAGGCTCGTTTTTCCGTGGGTTCGCGCGCCGAAGCTTTGTCGGATCAAGGGTCGTGTCAGAAACTCCGCAAAGAGAGAGAGAGAGAGAGTGCCTCAGAGAAACGGAGAGAAAGGATAGAGAATAAGGTGAAAAGAAGGATGGCGGAGGTGTGAGAAGAAGAAGTGACGGTAGTAAAGTAAACGTTAGACATGCACACGCGCGCGCGCACGCACAGAGGTGGCCTTTCGTTTCGTTTGAACTCTCGCAATCAGTCGCTGGACTAAAAATAGGAACCGTGACCTAACTACGCTCGATTCCACAATTATGCATTTCCTCCCGTTGTCCGACTATTTTTCACTCCTCGCCGTCGAATCAATGCGCCGTTAATGCGGCGTCTGTGTGTCGCGACGACGTCGATCGAGATGCCTCCTATGTATACGCGTCGCTGAAAGTGAGATGAAATTCAGACAGGTCGAGGGAAACAGGGTCGAGTCGATATTTTGTTTTTCTTTTTTCCCCCACCAGCCCGATTGCTCCGGGTGCCGGTGCTCCTTGAACCATTCCAGAAGAACTACTAAACTGTACGTGATCGCAAAAATTATGAATCCAGAATATTTTCATCCGTAGTATCTCTCACGAGTGTTGCAGAGTCTAGAGGAAAATAATGGTGCACGGTAGTGTGCGCGTTACCGAACCATGCAATCACAATTTCTTTAGTTACTCTTTAGTCTTTTTTTAATACATGCAGATTTCCATAGTTGCAAACTCACGTTTCCCCGTTAATTCACTATTAACGATTTCGTTTAATCTTCGCCAAGTTTTCACTGGCGCTTTCATTTTCTGAATCGAAAATAGACCGAGAGACTTGAAACGAGAAACGGCTGGTGGGTTAGAAAATATATTTGGTCGTTTTCACGCGGAAGCCGTTGCTCTCGCGATAATGACGAATGTTTCTCTTGTTCAAAGTTAGTTAGGTACCTAGCTCTACGGAGAGTCGAGGATTCCAAGTGGCAGATTGCGTTTAGCAGCGTGCCATCGA